AAATTTGAAGTATCGACTGATCATATTTTGCACATTTTAGATAGGATTTATTCGGCAAAATTTTGAAATTACGCTATCAATTTTTTGGGGTTGATAAACAGATACATTTTGATTAAAAAGTTACCATGCTTACAATAACTTCAAAACGTCTGCAAGATTTCAAAGTATTCAGTTTTGCAATTCTTGATTTAAACAATAAAATTAACTGAGTCAGTCAATAATTTTTTTGAGACGCCCTGTATAAGCAAATCTATAAAATATTAATGCAGTGATAAATCACAAGTATAGACTCATCATACTTTGCACATTTAAGATAGGATTTGTTCAGGAAAATTTTGAAGTGACGTCATAAATTTTTTTGGGGGATGACATTTTGAAAATTTACCATGCGTATGATAACTTTAAAACATTGCAAGATTTCAAAGCATTCGGTTTTGTAGATTCAAAATTAAATTGCAAAATGTTGTGTTATAATTTTGATTTTTTTTCCAAAAATCTGGACGTTTCGGGTAAAAACTCAATACGGAGTCATCAACGACATGTGTACCACTATGTTATTTTATACAATACACACATCAAAGGCGTGAACTGAAATTTGAAATTATTGCTGATTTAACTACAAGTGTAGATGCATATTTTGCACATTTTAGATACAATTTATCTGGGAAAATTTTGCGATGATACCACAGTTTTGGAGGAGATAAATGCATGGATAAATTTTGAACAGCAATTTATCAGAGCAGACGGTTCTGTATTTTGTATCCAAGACAAATGTGTACAATTTTTATTTTCTTTTCATAAATCTAAATGTTTCTAAAAAGAATAAAAGCGAATAATAAACCATAAGTACATTTAAAAAATTGGCCCAAGGTTATTTCCACAGAACTTCTCCCGCCCGTCAATTAAAATAACACAAATCCCGCTTTTTCGAAATTTTATAAAATTTGGTTGTGTGAATTTTATTTTTCTTTAAGAGAACCCTTATTGGTGGTGGGGATGATAGGCCAAATTTTAAATTCCGGTAGTTTTGGATATTACGTGTCTAATAAAAATGGATACAGGCGATAGACGGAAACAGGAGACCACTTTTTTCGTATTCTAGAACTCATGAAACATCGTTGCAAGTCACCCGATGGACTCGATTCCTACACTTTCTTAGCTTACGCTCAGGAAGTAAAAATTGTTCTAATGTTATTTAAACAGAACATTCCTCGCCCCTTAAATACAATCGAACAGTTTTTCAAAAAATAAAAAAAAAAATATTTTGCAAGATTGATTTATTGTCTGATATAAGCAAAAATATAGTAATACAAGTCACTGAAAAAAAACACCATTCGGTGAGGATGGAATTCGAATCCACACTGGGTAAAACACGAGTCCAAGAATCATCATCGATCTCACTCGACTACGAAGCATGCAGAATATATCACAAAAACAATTTTTGTAAAGTAATTGTGATAAAAATCAAGGCGGATCCATAAACCACGAGTACAGGATATTATTTAATAAAATTTAGACAACATTAACTACCTAAAATGATGAGGAGACGTCATCAAATTGTTGGTGGGCATGATTAGACAAATTTTGGTTATTGTTTTACACATACATATGCAATTTGACAACAATTCCGGTAGTTTCGGAGATTATTCGTCCACTAGAAATCAACACAAACCTAGTTTTTCATGCTTTAGGAGTCAACAATACTTCCTTAGCTTACGATCGGGAAGTAAATATGTAAATATGATTTACCTAGCAAAATTTTGAAGTGACATCAAATATGGTGGCTATGGACAAATAAATTTTGGTTAACCGTCTACCCGATAGTCATTAGTAACAAAAAATTTCACAGCAATAGGTCTAGTAGACATCGTGCCAACTCCACCTTCAAAGTTAAGGGGTGGGCGCACCTTCAGAGGCGTCCGTCATCGTTTCTGTGTCATTGTGAACTTTTCTAGCGTAAGGGCACCTGTTTAGATTAGTGCTTAATAGATTCATTCGCATTCGTGCTAGCGTGTTGACCAGTTCACTTAAGTTTACGTTTCCCTGTGTTATTGTTTACGATTTAAAAGAATAATTTAAAAAAGCACCCTCTTCTGCAATGTACATGTTGCGCTACTGACTGACAGTTCGTTGTCAGATTCTGTTGACTCATCATGTTGAACTTAAAATGATCCATCTCTAATAATGTCGCATAAAATGCACCTACAAGTACAAATCACTAATATACAAGAAAGAAATTACATTTAAACGCTTTTATAATCCTTTTATTTTGTAATTATAATAAGTGAGCTGTATATATCGATTTATTTAAAAGGTTCAAATTAAAAAAAAAAGATAATTAAACAAGTAACAAGTAATTTAAGCGTTATAAAGATTTATGGCAGTAACTATTTCCCGAGCATAAGTTAAGAAATCATTGTAATAGGGTCCATTTAGCGAATGGCTACTTTCATGTTTCCTCGACGTTTCAGGACCCCTACAGTACGAACAAATTGGTCTCCAATTTTCATCTGTCTGGGTCGATTTGTATTGTACATATAAATTTCGACACTATCGGACCTATTATCAAATTGTATATGTATGTATGTTAGGAATATCGGGTAGATGGTAAAACGTTAACCAAAATTTGAAAGTATAAGAGCCGCGAAATAGCGATAGTCCGTACAGATGTAACGCGAAAAACGTCGAGGGCACTGGTTCGAATTCCTTATGAGCCAATTTTTTTCTTACACTGTGACTGCTATTATCGATAATTTTTAACTTATCGGAATCGTCATAAAATAAACAAAATTTTGCAAAATCAAATTTTGTCATTTTTAGAACAATCTGGATTTCTTGGACGTACTTCAAGGAGAGGGAAGTTCTATCTAAATAAACTTAGATCAAGTTTTGTTTAGTAGAAAGGCGTTCGAAAATACTATTTAAATATATTAAAAATTGATTTTTAAAATTAATCGATTATAGTTTCTAACACAAAAAAATATTATTTTGTTAGACGTTCATAAGCCTACGAAGTATTGTTACAAATTCACATTTCAGAACTCTAAAATAACAGACATTTTTGTTTACAATATTATTAAAGTTACGTAATAGTTATTTATGTATTAAGGGCAAAATTGGGGAGATTATGGCCGAGGGAACGTTTTATTCTATTTTAGTTTCTAAAATATTTTTAACGAAATATTGAGTGTTTCCGGCAAGATTGTGTGAATTGTGCCGATGCGAACTTTAATACATAGCTGGCTATTATTTTGATGTTGTTATGGATACCACGTTTTTTATTTATTAAATAATTTGATTTTTAAAATGCAAACTGAAGAAGCGGAAAACGTTTATTCAAAAAATTTTTTAGAAGAATTTGAAGTCGGCCAGGGAGTGATTTGATGAAATATTATTTTTCCAACATTAATAAAAATGTTGAATATCGAAGCTTGTTTGAATAACTAATTAATGTAAATAAATAATCAATCGTTGCCTAGCAATTTTTGACTGATTTATGACATAAAGGCCAATTTATGCCCGCATTTGGGTGCTTATAAACAAGATTATGATTCTAAAACAGAATAAAACATTTAAATGATGTTAACAAAGCCACACTCACTTGTGAATTGTATGTTTTGTTTAAAAATTAATGTTTATTGCGGAGGATGAAAAAAATTGTGTAGACAGAACTAAAACACCTCTTAATGTCAGATTTCACTAAGCTTTTAAACACAACATTAATGTTAAAGGGAAACAATTGACCCAACATAAATAAAGCAAATAAACTCGTACCAAGTTTAAATTATGCTGTGCAATCGGCCCTTTAAATCGCTTGAATTATAATTATTCGCCTCGGGCAATTAAAACCTCCATTAGTCCTTTAATACGTAACATTGTGTGTTTTACTGAATTTGTCGAAGAACAACATTGACGACTTTTGCCTCTTTTACTGTTTCAAGGAAAATTTCCTCATTTACTCAAAAAGGCGGCTTTTAGTAAAAACTTTTGTGTTTACACTTTCACTCGTGCATCTTATAAGAAGCTTAAAATACTAAATACAGTACAGTACAGATATTGACGCAACGCAGCACTAGTTTATATGATAATCGTAGTACTTTAATTTAAATTCTTTGCATGCCTTTTTACAATTTATTTCTCGAGTAATAATTAATGTAAATTTACTTGTTTTACTTCTTATGATGTAAATGCCAACAATGAAATTTCCCTATGGATGATTGTATGAAGTAACAACTGACAAGATACTGTGGATGCAGGTTGTTTCCGATATTAACAGGTAAGATCTTGCGCGTTAGTGGAGATAGTGTATGTGATAAAAGATGCGTTTGATGATACGTTGAATAAAACAGAAATAATCTTAAACTGTTCTAGCGCTAATCGTCTCCCTGTTGCTTCTTCAACTTTTTAATCTCGTATTGTGTCCACAAAAATACCAATTTTTCACAAATGTGTATTATCATAGCTTCCACAAAGTTAAAAACAAAATTGTATCTCACTTAATTTCATTTTTATGTAATGTATATGATAAATACAAGAGCAGTACAATAGAATTATATCTACTGCAAGAAACATAAAAAAAAATACTTTGTGTGTAGGTAATATATTATTATAGAACGTTTTCTCAGTAACAAAATAATCATTCCTTACTTCTATATCCAAACAAATAACAAGTCCTTTCGGTTTATCGAAAAAAAAAAACTGCAATTACGGGTACAAATTTAATTTTCTGTTGCATTGACACGGAAAACGATGTATACAAATTTTGACTTCTTTCACAGTTTCAACAAGTAGTTAAAACTAGTTTTTATTACCACCTGCATGTCCAATGACATGCGATACTCCTTGTTGAAAAACTGCGATTGGCATTTAAAAAAGTGTTTATATTTACACACTTATCCGGAAGTCTGACATTGAACACCATTTGACACCGCAAATTAGTCGATAAATTCGAATTTACAAAGTAACGTGAAAAACTATAAAAGGGCACGACTTGTCATTACCTTGGTCAATGAGTCTACATGCATTTGGTTGTTTATTTTGATCCATTGTTAGTTTTTCGGCTAATAACTCTCTGACATACTCCCCGGCTTTTTGTGTTGCCGGATTAGTTTCGTCATTTTCTCCTTCAGCTGCTTCATTTAACTTGTCTGCTATACTTTTACGCTTGAAATTATCAGCGTAAGTGCCGTAATCACCGTTTGAATCGTACTTATCTGCCATTTCTTTCTTTTTTCACACACAAATCTAGCAAACTGGGATAACAACAAAACACGATCAATAACTAAGATGGCTGCTTAAATTTATGAGGGTGTCGCTAGATGGCCGGCGTTTACAGAAATCTACTGAAGCGAGGTACTGTTGGTTGAATAGAAGTGGCGGCAACACATCAAACAAAACTTTTTTATTTTCTTTTGAAATTACGATAAATTTAACTGGGATACGTTTATTGTTGAAAATTCTACATGTTTGTATACATATATCAGCATGTTTATTTTTAATAATACAAGAAATAGAAAAAAACTCACAGAAACCACCTATTTTTGTAAAATCATACATAATTCACTGAGACATTTTGTTGATCGATTACATCACTGCCAAATTGTAAGTGGAGAACACTTTGAACATTTATTGTAGTCCCACTCATAGTTTATTATTTATTAGTATTTTCAAAAATGGCGTGATTTTACAATATTAATAAGTGTTTTTTTGGTGAATTTTTGTCTATTTTTTTGTCAGTAGAAATAAACATGTTGATAATTTCTGAAATCAGTTTTTTATTCTGTATTAGAAAATGTCAACAAAAATCAGGGTGTTTCATTAAAAAAAAGTAGGCGGCCTTGTGTGTAAAACCGGAAGCGATAAAAAAACAAAAAATATTGTAATCGCCATGTTTAACTACATATCCATACCAAAGTTCCAAAAAAAAGCTTTTCAAATAACAAAGTTATTCAATCGTTCCGAGACCCTGTATAGTATGAATTAGTACAAAATTAATTATAGTTAAGATCACTACCTATACTATTTTGGCAAAAATATTTTTTGTATATTTACGAATATAAGGAAATTATAATGCGAATATTTGTTTGCTCAATATTAATGTCTTAATTAATACGAGTTGACAGTATTATACAAGGTGAGAATAAAAGATCGTACATCAAGTTGGCTTCGAAATTTCGTGAATTTTGCCGCTTCATTCTGATAATTGATAACTACTCGTCGTCTGTCACAATCCGTTTGTCCCTCCCAAAAAATTTATGACGTCATCTTAAAATTTTGGCCGATAAACTATCTAAAATATGCAAAATATTATGAATCTGTACTTGTGGTTTATCAGTGCGTTCATATTTCTTAGAATTACTTACAGGATGACTCAAGAAATTTAATGAATAAAGCAATTTATTTTATTGATCAAATCAAGGACGGCTCATCCCATTTTTCCGAAAAGCTGAGTATACAGACTGTTATTATTACACTGCACTTATTCAAACTGATATAAGTGTCCATATTAAAATGTTGATGACGTCATCACCAAATTTTATTATGGAAAAACTCATTTGAAACCACGCATAACATGCATATTGCCTGTACTTGAACAGTCCCCATTTATATGTACATTTTAACTTACAGGGATTATCATAAAAAAAGTAAAATTCGCAAAATTAAATTCCTGTCTGTACTTGAGGAACGAGAAAAGTTCTGTCCAAATAACTTTAGACCATTTTTATTTCCTCAGCATAATCTAAGGAAGTATTGAAATTGAGTCCATCGGCAGACTCCCTACTTTTATGTTTTCTCGACCTTTCATAACACCTAGAATACGAAGAAATAGGTCACCCGTTCCCGACTGTTTGTCTATAAGTCTGTCTGACGTCTGTCCGGATTTTTATTAGATAGATAATATCCGACACTACTGGACCTCATTATTGTCAAATTTTCTAGGTATACCTATTAGGAATATCATCTAAATGATAGAACGCTCACCAAAATTATTCCCACCACCAAGGGAATGACGTCATCTCCAAAATTTGCAATAATATATACTTTTTAATTTTAAGTATAAAATAAGACACTCTTGCACTTGTGGTGTATGAATCCGTGTTGAGTTTTGACCTGGACATTAGATTTTTGGAAAAGAAATCAAAATGATGGTAAATCATTATTCAAAATTTATTCGTTTATTCCCTCTCAAAAAATTGATGACGATGATGATTTCAAAGTTTTGTCAAATAGAGTGTAGTCTTGTGATTTATCATTTCATTAATAGTTTTTAAAATTGTTTATTAAACAGGGTCACTCAAAAAAATTAATGAATGAGTCAATTTATTTTATTGATTAAATCAGAAATTGTAAAATCGAATGTTTTGAAATCTTGCAGACATTTTAAAGTTATCGTAAGGATGATATATTTTTAATCAAAATATATCTGTTTATCCCTACCAAAAAATTGATGACGTTATCTAAAAATTGTGTTGAATAGATCCTATCGAAAATGTGCGAAACATATATGATGAGTCTATACTTGTAATTTATCATTCAATTAACATTTTTTTAGAATTGCTTATTCAAGGTGACTCAAAAAAAAATGAATGGGTCAGTTTATTTTATTAATTAAACCAGAAATGGGTCTCTCCATTTTCCCGAATATTTATGAATACAACACTGTTATTATTAGTATCTGCAGTATCCAAATTGATACACACGTCCTTGCAAAAATATTGATGACATTATCCAAAAATTTTGTCAAGGATACACTGATTTGAAACAACTTGTAGCATGCTTCTTTACATGTCTTATTTTAACTTTTAGGGGTTTTCATTAAAAAAATAAATAAATTTCGCAGAATCAAATTTTATAATTTTTTGAGAAAGCTGGATATGTTTTATTGTTCTTCAGGGGTGAGGGAAGTTCTATCGAAATAACCTTCAACCACTTTTTTTATGTTGTAATAAAAATTGCTTTACGAAATAAGTGGCAAATCCCTACCAAAAATACAGTGACAGTTTTTCTAAAACCAACTCGATGTACGATATTTTACAATCACTTAATTTTGTTAATACAACGTGTTTCAAAATGATTTTCATTTAGTCCTAGTCGTTGAAGCGATTTCAAAGCTAACTAGATGAAAATCATTTTGAAACACACTTTACTATTTTTTAAATCTAAGTTATACATGAGAGATAATCCAGATCCTGATCAAATAAAAGAACATTTTTTGAGATACCCGTGTAAACTTAAAAAATAAATAAAACAATATTACTGAAATATTATAAGGAATACCGGATGTCGGTATCCGTTTTAACAAATATATAATTTTTTTGTACAGTTAGGATATTATTTAGCGAAAAGAATTGATTGTTCGGTAATCCATGTCATGTACTGTTACAATTTCGAAGGAGTTGATTTAATTTAACCAAAATATAACAGACATAAATCATCATGTTAACGATCTCATGCTAGCATGCGATGTACTTGCTCTCTCATCCCCAAAAAAACTGATCACATGTTACTAGATAGAAATTCCTCTCGCCCTTGAAGTATAATAAAAGAAATGCAGTTTTTTATATAAAACAAAAATATAGACAATATCAGTTACAGTGTAAGAAACCAAAATTGGGATCGAACTCACGACCTTCTCATTATTAGCACATTCTTCTTATATCAATATAAAATCTTGCGATAAAATTTTGATTTTTTTTGCGAAAATCTGGATCCCTGAAGTAAAAACTCAAGGCGTATTCATTAACCACAAATACAGGAGTCTGTTATTTTATAAAACTAAAATATAATTTACCATGCAAAATTTTGGGATGACGTCATAAAATTGTTGGTGGGGATGAATAGATAAATTTTGGTAAGCTTTGTACCATCCATATAATGTTTCTAATATGTACACATAAAATTTGAGAACTATGGTTCCAGTGGTTTCCGATATTTTCTTAATAAAAATCGACACAGAGAACAGACAGACAGACAGAGAGCCAGACGGAAACGGGTTACCTACTGTGTTACATGTCCTAGTTACAAATATGTTGATAACAGTCAGCCATTTTGAAGATTGTACAATAAAATCGTCGACAAATGGACGATAGACAGACGAAAATGGAAGACCGACATTTTTATATTATACAAACTGGTAACCTAGCCGTCATTTTGAATTACATATATTTAAATTTTTTTATTTAAATTATAACTATTTTATAGCAGTTATATATATATGTACTTTTATTAATGGATTTGTTAAGAAAAATAAATTTTGTGATAACAGTTAATATTTATATGCCAAAGAAAGAGAGTGAAAGATTTTGAACGTTAGAACTACTTATTATATTGTTTAGATAGGAAAATTATTTCCATAATTTGTTAAATGAAAAGTCATTATGGAAAAAATTTTAGTTGTCGGAGCATTTCGCTCGTTCCTAAATTAAAAATCGTCATTTTTTATTACTCATGTCTACACGTCTTGTTTATATCAGTGCCATCATACAGACAAATGTTTACGTTGACGGTAATCCCCGAGGACCAGCGCTAAATAATAAACTTTTGTTTTTAAACTGCGAGATTGTGTGCAGGTTAGATAAAAGTTGTTCATTAAGCAGGGCATGATTAATTTGCCAACAACAAAGAGTCTTTTTTCGGACTGCTAAAATGTAAAAATTGTGCTAGCATTTTTAACAAACGAGATTGTAAACGTTGACGTATTTATATCTTTAGGCATCCATAGAAATATTACAAATATTCTGTTGTTTAGTTTTTGTTATATTGAATTTCACTGAATGCAATATAGGTTTTCTTTACTTGGAAGACAAAGAACGTCAATATTTTTACGCGAGACGCGTTCTGAACGAAACACAATGGGCTGAACGCTCGTGTCTGAAAACAGAACCCGTACCGTATCATTTTTTTTGTTTTCTCCAATACATTAAGTTCTTAGTGGTTTAATCAATATCTGAAACCTATACGTGTTCAAATCATTACCTAGTATAAAAATTTCTACAGTGTTTTTGTCGAGTTGTTATTACTATTATAAAAACAATATCCAGTTTAATGTATGAAATTAAACTTGCTGTTAGCAGAAATCAAGAAAACTTTCAAACCAAAGGCTTATTATCATTAGTATCCGATTTAATTTAATTATAAAGTAAAATTTGCAAGAATTGTTGCGTTGAAGGAATTCATGCAAATTTTATTTAAGATTAGCTTTAAAAACGATCGATAAGTCTCCATGGTGCCGCTTCGTTCCTCTAAAATTCCGTTTTTCGCATAAAATCTATTACCTTTGTAAAGGGC